AAAGTTTTGTATTCAAGTTCAACTGTTGAAATCCAAGAGGTTCGCTGTTTGCTATTTCTTTATTTACCTCGTTTGGCCTGCAGAGATTGAAACACGACTCGATTCAATATTAGATGGTTTTTCCCCCTCTTATATACTGATAATTGAGTTAACGTTATTGACTTTCATTGATATTACCTGAGGTTGTTAAGATAATTTTGCTTGGATTCCCTTCTTCCTTTGTATGTCCCAACTTTTGTCTTGATGTAACTTATGATCATGCTTAGGTGGTTTCACTTCATTATTTTGGTTCAATGTTTCTTATCAAATGAAGGTATACCCAGTGGGTGATAACCTTAGCATGGCTTATTGTCCAGCTGGAAGTCTGACGTTTCAATTAGCAAGAAAAAGAGTAAACATATAGAACTAAAAAATCACCAAATTTCATGAACATGTACTGGCATGGGAGAGAAATGACTTTGTTTCTGTTGGGGTCTTTCAATTTGTTGTTCACTGTGGAAGATTTTGGTTACAGCAGGGATTTTTATGCAACTGAATTGTTAAAAAAGCATTAATTATATCCACTTGGATAACTGTTAGGCAGTGAATAGAAGAGACAGATGTGCTTTTGATGTAGACAGGCTTCACTTCTAGCAACTGAACAGATATGGTTTCGGTGCTCAAATTTTTGATCTAGTGCCATCTAATAAAGAACAAGATGCTAAATGGAAGAAGTACAGTATAGAGAAGTATTTTTAAAGAAACTAGCAATTATAATGTTTTTAACATTATTTGGAATATTTAGGATTTGGGAAATACTATTAGTTTATGAATTTAACAGTTACTAGGAAATAAAATTCAGGTTCTATTGTAGGTTACTAGTTTCTCTTCTACCTTAGTTTTCTTTTAATAATTCCAATTTTTTTGAACATTTGACTTTTCTGTCTTGATTATTATTGAATACAATTGAGAAGTGTGAATTGATCATTGATATCTGAGATTTCTGTTTCTTGTTCTTTTAAATTCTTCATACTTTATGTTTAATCTCTCCTTGTCTTACATAAGAATCTGGTTATGAATGAGCTTAAGTTAAAGAATTTTATGACCTGTGCATGTGTTTTATAATTTGGTGGCAGCCCTTGGTGGCTTGTGAATACAAATGTCTTTTGTTATATGCAAAAGAAACACTGCTACTGCAATACAATGAAGACATATTTTTTTATTTCATGCAATATATGAAAATTAAGATGTGTTTTGGTAGGAAAATTTACTTGAATGTTAAAGTAACATGCGTAGAGAATTTATTTTATGTGAAATGTTCGTGGAGAATTTGAATTGGCAAGAGATAATGTTTCCACAGAAGATTTGTAGTTTTCCAAGTAATTTTCCTTATACTATTGCATAGAGCATTTTATTCTCTCTCAATCGTAAAATGATAGTCTTTACATTATTTTTCTAAAAGAAAAAGTCTCTTCCTTACTAACAAATGCCTTTGAGAATGTTTTCACCACTGGTTTGTACTATGCTGCAATTATTAATTTTCTTCCCTTGGTCCTAATGCAGCTAAACATATGAAAAGAATGAGAACTCTAGATTCCTGTGTTGAAATGAGAGTCATATGTTTGGATATTTCCAGTCTTGTGAAGTTGTTTGACCACTCTTTTTTTAAACTGTTTTCCCCATTATTTTGTTTGAGGGAGAGATTGCTACATGATAGGATTCACAACTTTTAATTTTCTTATAAAACATCCATTTAGGAAACACCAAGATCTTTAAAGGATCTGACTGTTGTGTCTGATCCTTAGCATCAAACATAGGGAATGAAGATTGATACATCCAGAAAAAACATAAGACAGTGGTTTCAAAATCGATCATCATTGAGCTGGGAAAAGTATCAAGCTAGGAATTAGTCTCTGCATCGATCTTTATTCTTATCACTAGTCATTTAAGTAATGAAGGGGTAGTTTCATAGATTCCTTATTCATGGTAACGGTTATTGCAGTACATATGGACCAAAGTTCATTTTAAACAGTAACATCACAAGTCAACCAGGAGGGATTGTTGATTGTTGATTATTATATTCAGTTGCACATTGTGCATTATCCTCTAACTGACGGTTCAGTGTTAAATCTTTCATTCTAGTTGTTGTGATAGTTTGTTCACTATACTTCCTCTTCTACCCCAGCGTGTAAAAGAAGAAAAGAAAAAGAGACAACTTGCAGTTAGATGCAAGTGCTGAACGGTCAAAAAAAATCAGTTGTTACTTATTTGATCTCTAGTTACTTGATCTTTGGATTATATTCTTATGTAGTGATGGCTATTTCAGGAGGATGCTGTGCCTGAAAAGAAAGTTATTGTTGCTGTGAAGCAAGGAAACTTGTTAGGGACTGCCTTCCATCCTGAATTGACAGCCGATACTCGTTGGTAAAGAACTTTCATGCTTTATTATTCTTCTTCTAGTCTGAAAACTTTATTTCTAAGCAGCTTCATTTGCAGGCATAGTTACTTCTTGAAGATGGCAAGTGAGATGGGAGATGGGGCAGCCTCAAGTAGTATTGCCCCGGTTGGAGGAGAAAGTCAAATTTCCGACCAAGAAGAGAGGATTTACCTTCCTATATTTCACTAGTAACAGGGTGACAGGGAAAGATAACTGCTATCTTATTTTTCAAATACATTTTTTCATTATCGACTTGTCGTTTTCTTTGCCTGATTTTTGATAGCTCTACAAAAAGTCAATTTATTCAAGGATTCTTTTACGTTAATTTAGTTGTTATACAGACACAATGATTTGCATCTTGTCTGGTGTATATAAAATGTAGAGAGTTTGCTAATCTGACATTTCTTGGTTATAATAATGAAGTCGATACTTTTTTTGGGTGGTTAATGTTCAGCTTTTTGATCTTGCCCTTTCATTTTTGTTAGTGTCTCGGTTGTTACTTTTTACTTTGTAGCTGGAAAATCTGTATCCCTTTTCAGACACAATGCATCTCTGATAATTTTATAACATTCATAGTCATTCAGTGATTTTGTGCAGTAATATTATCAGTTGTTATATAAAATTAATTGATTATTATTCAAAAATACTGTGTGAAATATCAGTTTTAGAAAGTGTAAATTCTGACTTACATACAATTTTAGTTTTGCCATTTTGGTGAATTGTGATAGTTTAGGTGAGTAGTTTTTCATCACTTGGAGATTGCAATTGACTTGGAAAGTGAATAAAACTTGCATATTGTACAGATGCATAAAAGTGGCTTCGGAGATCCAAGATTGTAGGACAGGCAAAGCTCTATATATATATATATACATACCCTTTTAATTTCTTAATTTAAAAGAACTGTTTATGTCTTTCAATGCAGGTTATCCATTGCTTATAAAAATCCGCTACAACATGTTACCATGCATATGAGTGGAGCAGAAATATCTCTATGTGCATATAGATGTATACCATATATAAAGTCAACGAGGCGACTTTTAGAGCATGCGAAATAATATTATAATATAGAAGGAGCTCAAATATACTGCTCTATATATATATATATATATGTATGTATATACACACACACACACACACACATAAGAGAACATTCAGATCTGTTTGAATTTATAACAACAAAAATGCAAAAATTAAATTACATAAATAAAAACAAAAAATAAAAAAATTACAAGATAATAGCAAAAGAAATTAATAATTTTCATAAAACATGGAATTAGCTTAAACCGAACAAAAAGGAACCCTTTCGTTTCTGTAAGCAAGCCCACAATTATGCTTCTTGACAAACAGATTGAATTTAAGCAAGCTAATAAACTTTTAAGCAAACCCAGAAGAATTATAATTCTTTACAGCTATTTTTAGTTAAATACAAGCCATATATACATACATATTTATACATATATATATATATATAAATCATAATAATTGAACGAAATTACTTTTTCCTAAAAGACTTAAGGCTAGTACAAAATGATATAGTTTATAATGGTACGGCAGAAATGTGGAGAATACGAAACTTAACAGTCCTTATAATAATCAGAAGTTGACTCTAATATACACTACATAACATATACAATAAATAAATATAATATTTTTACAAAAACTTGAAAAGCCAAAAAAAATATTTAATAATTTTATATTAACAATTTATAAGGTACTTAACGTAAAAACATACACAAATAATCAATGCTGATAAACCCATGAAGTAATTTATTGATCAAAAGCCACATGATCGTATGAAACTTTCAACAGAAAGAAGCAAAGGAACATCAATTTTTTTCAGGGTTTCAGGGATCAAGAATCCCGTATATAAATCCTCCTTTGACCTCTTTCTTTCAACATCCATCAATCCACAAAGCACCTGAAAAAAATCAAAGAAGGAAAGAAAAAAAAAAAAACCCTAATCACAACAGTTTGAATTGTAGAATCAAACACAAGTAGAGATCATGGATAGGAGAAAGGTATGTGTATTGGTTGCTTTCTTTGTTGTGTTACTATGCATGGAAGCCATTGTTGTCCAGGCCCAGGCTGCTAACAATATCGATAAGAACGATGATAATGGCAACAAAGGTGACAATAAGGGCAAAGGTAATGGCGATAACAATGGCAACAAAGGTGATAATAAGGGCAAAGGTGGCGACCATGACGACAAAGGTGACAAAAATGGAAAGGGTGACAAAAACGGCAAAGGTGGCGACAATGGAAAAGATAATGGGAAAGACAAGGGTAAAGATGAGTCAACCAAGTACACAATGTTGTCGCCAGTGGAGACCGGACAAGAACGAGCTTTCTGTGAAGCGAAAGGATCATGTAACTACAAGACACTGACTTGTCCGTCTGAGTGTCCTCGGAGAAAACCTAAGAAGAACAAGAAGAGCAAAGGATGCTTCGTTGATTGCAGCAGCAAGTGTGAGGCTACTTGCAAATGTAAGTCTTGAATTACTCAATTCACTTATCTTAACTTGCATTTGAATTAAATTGAATTACCAATTCATTTATCTTCACTTGGATACTTCTACCTTGTTTATGAGTATGTAGGTTAAGCGATAAGAGATCGTATTATTATTATTAATATTTAAGTTAAATTGAATTACGTTCAATTATCTTCACTTGGGTACTTCTACTTTGTTTATGGGTACGTGGGTTTAAGCGGTATACTGTGTAGTACTTATATATTTCTTGAGAGATTGTATTACTATTAATATTTCAGCTAAATTCATTTATCTTCGCTTGAGTACTTTAACTTTGTTTATGGGTAATGTGGATTTAAGCAAATATAGTGTCTTATATTTATATCTTTGTTAAAAGATTGTGTTATAATTAATATTTGGATTGGCAGGGAGAAAAACCAACTGCAATGGTTATGGTTCTCTCTGTTACGATCCAAGATTCGTAGGTGGAGATGGTGTGATGTTCTACTTCCATGGATCAAAGGGAGGAAACTTCGCCGTTGTCTCAGACAACAACCTACAAATCAATGCTCATCTCATTGGGACCAGGCCGCAAGGAAGAAGTAGGGATTTCACGTGGGTGCAAGCCTTGTCTGTCATGTATGATTCTCAGAGTCTTGTCGTTGCAGCAAAAAGAGTTTCCGTCTGGGATGATGCTGTTGATGCCTTCACTGTAAAATTCGACGGCATAGACGTAGACATCCCAGTAGATGGAGAAGCTGAATGGAGGAAAGAAGATAGTGACAGAGAGGTGATTATTGAAAGAACAGATGACACAAATAATCTCAGAATCTCAGTTTCTGGGATTGTTGAGATTAATGTAAAGGTAATTTTATTTTCTTTAACTCTAATTTTAATTTCTTTAACATTGAAATTCTACATCTATAAAGAATTAAACTCAAAATGGGATGATCAAAATACAATAAATTCAACCCACAAGACAAGAACTGTATTTTTCGTCGATTATTTATATTCTAACGCGTTGATTATTTACATCCAAACAGGTAAGACCTATTGGAAAAGAAGAGAACAGAACACATAATTACCAGTTACCAGACAATGATGTTTTTGCTCATCTGGAGATGCAGTTCACGTTCAAGAACTTGACAGATCTTGTCGAAGGAGTTTTGGGCAAGACTTATCAACCGGGATATATCAGTCCGGTGAAAATTGGAGTTCCAATGCCAATGATGGGTGGAGAAGACAAATACCAGACTCCATCACTCCTATCACCTCTCTGTAGGGTTTGCAGGTTTGAGGGAAAATCCTGGTTTGCTGATATGTGAAGTATTCTACGAGAAAACCAAAGAATCTTCATTGGAAATCTGCAACTACATACATATACTGGTTTTCACAGTCGCGATAATAATTTTTTTTTTTCAAAAAAAAAAAGAAATAAAGGTTATTTATCAAAGAATATTAAAGTGTTCTTATTGTTTTCTGAGTGTTTTGATTTTTGACTGAATTCAAGAATAAGGGCATCCAAATATTTGCCCATATACATGTATCTACCATTTTATATGATTGTTTAAGGTTTTCCTTGCTCTGAAAAAAAGGTAATGTTGATGTTGCTTTGAAGTTGAAACATCTTTGTTAGTTTCTTCTTTCTTTTTAAGTTTCCAAACTTACTCATAAATAGATTTTAATATCCAATTTTAAATTTGCAAGATGATCTAAAATTAATTTGAATTTGGCCGCGCTAACGTAATATTTATAAATGCATCTAAATACTAGAACGTCTAAAATTATTATCCAACGATGCTATAGTAATATAAAAATTAAAATATACACTTAAAAAGTTTATAATATTTAAAAACGTGTTCAAATATCTAAAATGTAATCGGCACTTTAAAAATTTACAAAACTCGCCTAGATAATAATAATATAAAAAAATATTATGAATAATCGTATTATTAAAAAAAAATTCAGAAAACAACTTGAATTTTTATAATACTAATAAATTTGTTTGCCAGATTAAAATGCTAAAAAAATGTAATTTTCTACAATAATTCGGAAAAAAAAATATTTTCGAGTACATTAATGTGTAAACACGCTTTCGAGTAACAAAATAAATACTTATATATTCAAAGTTTATCCAGAAATGCCAAAGTAACTATCTTGAAAAATATAGTTGCAGTTAAGCTGTCGCAAAACCCTAATTACTACAATATTGTCGCAGCAATTCTATTGCCACGATCAATCCACTGCAATGTTTCCTTTTGTTGTCGTATACCAATCGTATTTACTTAAAAGAAAAACAAAGAGTAATAAAATGAAAAATTAGAATTATTAAGAAAGTAACTAGAATATAAAAGGCCAAAACTCGAAGGATAGTTAAAATTTTTCTTTCGTCAAATAGCAAATGTGTTTGGCTATTCAAAGTTTTCATTCTTTTTCTCTCCTTCCAAACAAGTTAAACTGAACTCAAAGCTTCTCACGTTTTCTCGTTTTGAAAGAAAGTTTCGTACGTTTCAACAAAAATATTTCGTACATTTTAACAAAAACTTTTATCAATGGTGCAATAGATATTTTTTTATCAAGTATATAACATCTTACCCTATTTATAAATAAATTGAGATTTCGTTTTGAATAAGCACGTATAAATAGATATATAAACAATTTCACTTCCACTTCGTGTAGTTTCTCCTGTAACTATTCAGCCATTGAAGTTTAATTTTTAGTATTTTACATAAAACCATAGGCTTCTTTTTTTTAGCTATTTTAATTTTCCTCCACTGATTTTGATTGATCATTGACCCACCAGAACAGATTATAAAATTTAGATTGGAATCAAGTCAAACCTTACAAACCAGAATTTTCATGGACCCTTCTTCCAAATATACATAGATATGTAAATATATATATATATATATATAATGGCCGTATTATATATATATATATATATAGCCTTTTATGGAATTGAAGGCACTATTAGGGTCTTAATTAGATCATATTAAGAAATATTAGGCACTAGATTTACTCTTTAATATTTTCCTTCTATCGAAAAACAAAAATATTAAATTATTCAGCAGTAATCAATCTAAGCAGTAGAGAGAAAAGGTCAGCCCCTCTGGTTTGACCGATCAAGACTGTAGCTGGAAGCCATGTGAATGGATTAAAGAAACTTGAAGCAAGAAAATTAAATTCTCAATTTGTTCATTTCCTTAATTATATTGCCTGCATCGTATTAGGCATATACACGCTACGCGCTCATATAATTAATTAATTAATTAATTTTCTTCTTCGTATAAATTTTAATTATTTTTCTTTTTTAAAAAAAATAAATGTAGTGCTTGAAAAGCAACATATTTGTCTTTTACAAAAATTAACTCTTCTCAAAAGGTGCCGACTTAAAATTCAATTCAGACTAAGAATTTTTGTGTGTATGGAGAATCCAACTTAGCTAAAAATAATAAAAATTTGTTATATTAAATATATTTATGCTTATTAAATATATTTTAATTTAATAAATAAATTAAGAACATGTAATTAATATTTAAAAAATTAAATAGAGCAAATATTTTTTTTGAAAAAATTACTAATTTCATGTAAATTAAAAAATAAATTAAATACAATAAGACTAGTTACTTTTTAGGTGAATGGTGTCATGCGTTGTTAATGGTATTATGAGTGTGCATGAATTTATAGTAAATCAATTAAATTCGCTTTTTGAAAATTTGCACATAGTTTACTTGACCCTATGAAATGTAGACATACACGTTGTAGATTAATTAGGTATACATATATATGAGGTATAGGTGTTTGTAAGACAAGTTATATACGTACAATAACAAGTTAAACTTGTCCCTATGCATGGCTACGTGGTCAAACATATCTATCGCTACTCTAGAGGCATAGTAAAATAGCAGAAGAGCTGTTTCTTCACTGTTACTGTTTCTTTCTTCATAGGAAGAAGAAAATGCCCATGAATTTAGCCTTACTCCAAGCCCTATATACATTACCGTGCACCCTAACAGCTCTTTTCTCCCTATATATATGTGTGTGTGTGTGTGTGTATGTACAACCCACCGTCTTCCCATCGATAGAAACTTGCAGATTTTATTCACAAGCACAGAGAAAAGTAGAATTAACAGCCACAGCGATCATTACCAACTATATATCCTTAACCATATAGTTAAGGGTACTTATATATATATATTTGCAGATCCTCGCAGCATATATATATATACACTACAAGTGGTCAGAGACTAGATCAGATCGATATGGATAAGGGAAGGTACTTACTTTTCCTGGCGTGTTTCTTCGCCGTAATATTGATTTGCATGGAAGCTGCACTAGCCAAAACAGAAAACGAGAAGAGCAACAAGGACAAAGACAAGAACAAGAAGGCCCCTTTCGACGCGGCTTCGACAAATTATAACGTGCTGACGCCGCTCCCGTCCGGGCAAGAACGAGCTTTCTGCAAAGCCAGAGGGGCCTGCAACCAAAAGACTCTTGTTTGTCCGGCTGAATGCCCTCAGAGGAAGCCAAAGAAGAACAAGAAGAACAAGGGGTGCTTTGTTGATTGCAGTAGCAAGTGCGAAGTCACTTGCAAGTGTAAGCCACCTCAGCTACTTGATCATTTTATATTATTTTTACGGAAAAAAATATAAATGTACTCATGATTTAATTAATTTTCTACCAGTTCTTTTTTTTTTTAATTTTAGAATTAAAAATTTGATCTTTAAAGCTTATGGTAGAGTGCTTTTTACACCAAACCAGAAAGTAGAAAGTCATCTTTTTTCCTTCATCAAGTTATATAAAAAAGAATTTGAAAATATGCTATTCCATTGTATGCTTTCATATTGTCATTTTGTAAACAGGGAGAAAAGCCAACTGCAACGGCTTTGGCTCTCTCTGCTACGACCCCCGTTTCGTCGGCGGCGACGGCGTAATGTTCTACTTCCACGGCGCAAAAGGCGGGAACTTCGCCATCGTCTCCGACGACAACCTCCAAATAAACGCCCACTTCATCGGAACCCGACCGGCGGGACGAACCCGCGACTTCACATGGGTACAAGCCTTCTCAGTGATGTTCGACACGAGCACTCTCACCATTGCCGCCAAGAGAGTTTATAAGTGGAACGACGCCGTTGATGCCTTCACTGTGAAATTCAACGGCCGTGATATCACCATCCCGACCGACGGAGAAGCAGAGTGGAGAAGATCGAATTGGGAAGAAGAAGAAGAAGAAGAAGGAGAAGAGGAAAAGAGAGAGGTGGTTGTGGAGAGGACTGACGAGACGAATAGCGTGAGAATTACAGTTTCGGGGATTTTGCAGATGGATGTTAAGGTGAGGCCGATTGGGGAAGAAGAAAACAGAGTTCATAATTATCAGATACCGAAGGAAGATGCTTTTGCACATTTGGAGACACAGTTCAAATTCTTTAATTTGAGTGATTTAGTGGAGGGGGTTTTAGGGAAGACTTATAGACCTGGTTATGTCAGTCCGGTGAAGATCGGAGTGCCAATGCCAATGATGGGTGGAGAAGATAAGTACCAGACTCCTTCTTTGTTTTCTTCTGTGTGCAAAGCTTGCAGGTTTCGGGGAGGGTCTTCTGTTTCTGGGATGTTGGGGAAATTGCCAGGAGCAACTGAAGAATAAGGTGTTTATGTTTGGGTTAATTCAGTTCTTTCTGTAATTTTGGGACATAATAAGGGCTAACAAAATGCCTCCATTATATCTTGTTGTAAGCTGTCATCTTAATTTGTTACCCAAAATGTTATTAATGTTTAGTCCGAGCGTAACAATTATATTTATCAGACATTTAAATTAAATTTTTTTTCTATAATATCATATACATTTTCGGATATTATAACGAATTATTTTCTCTGTCTCTTCCCTGTAAGAGACCGAAAATCCGTTCAATTTATGAAAGCTCTTTCCAGAGCCAACCATTTTTTTTTTCTTTTTCTGAATGAATATGCATACTGTTTATCATAGGGATGCCTGCCTTTCTCTTTCCTTTTCTTTTTGTTTTTTTCTGGTAAGCATCTATTTTACAATTATTTCAAACATTGAAAAATAAACTTTTTATTTGGTTAGACACTTAACAGGGCGTAATGCTTGACTCCCAGTTGCATCCCATGTAGGCGCTGTGACTCTTCATGTACAGGAAGCTTCTACTGCCAAACTCTTCAGCACTCCTCTACATGGATTACCAAATACGTCGGTTGAAACGCTAATGCTACAACTCCTTGATCCTAGACAGGCCTGTCAAGTTTAATTCGAGAAATACATACATATATACGTTATACTTCCACATGATATGTACATAGTTAGGGAAGAGCTGAGAAAAGAAGAGAATCTAAGAGTGAGTAAGATCATACCTTCTGCACAATTGAATGAGCGTGGGAACTATTACACTTGCTATGTTTAAAACTTCCGCAAGTCCCCCGAGGAGTGCCAAAACTTGCAAATTTAATTGAAGAAATCACCTGACTAGGAGAAGGGCATTCTAGTAACAGCATGGGACCTGATTTTCTTGCTTTTTCTGAATCTGAATTCCACATATCTACAGGTGAGGGATGAGATTCTGAAATATATGAACATAAACTTTCAGTTTGTCGTGTAGCAATTTGTATCTCCGACGGATTCCCACCAATTTCCTCAAACAATACAAGAGTATTTCCACTTGCTTGCAACCACGACCGAGGTACGTGATACCTGTGAGATTGTGATATAAGAATCAGAAATCCTGAAATGGGTTTTGGATTTTTCTCCCTAGTTTATTTTAGCACTTACAGTGACTGAGATGGTTTCCCACAGTTCTTGAGGCATTTGTTTGAACTATAAGAACCTCTGTAATTACAAGAATCGGTGCAACCACTGCCTGGTGCAATATTTGTTGGCCAATAACGACCAATACTTTGTCCATTCACCCATGCCTCACCTTTTCCCATTCCAGTGAAGTCCAGTGCAACGGGGGAACTTCCAGCAGGGGCATCAAATTTTGTCTGAAATAAATCATAGAGTTGCCTTTTGTTAGCAATAAAATATAATGTTTCCAATCCATTTGCAGTAATGTCCTTGTTAAGAATAACAAGTGGCCAAGAATGACATGACTTTTTTTAAAAGAATAAATAGAATTCGAGTATGGTATGAAAATCTATCATCGTATGAGATACAGACAAACAGCGGCATTGTGCTTTCAGTAATCTAGGTAATAGGTAATAGTGATATTTAAATATCCGTGTACAAGTATAAGAGAATAGAAAAAGTAATGGCAAGACAAAAGATGAAACTTGTTAAGTAGAATGTCTAGAACTTTTATGTTCAAACATACAAAAGAGGGAGAAAAAAAGGCGAAAAAGACAACAAACAACATAACTGAATAGCTTCCTTACAAGTTAATTCTCTGGTATTACAATTATGTTCTTCAATTTATATAAACTTTTATATGTTTGAATATTACCTTGTACCATATTAAAGGCTGCTTTACAGGCAAGGTAGGTTGAGAAACCCACCCCGAAGAACTTCCAGTAGACAGACCTAATTCTTCCCCTTTTAATCCAACCTGCAGTTGAAAAGCAGATCAATCATTAAGTTGCATACTTTCTCTTGGAAGCTAATACACACTATTTACTATTTTCCAGTTTGTCTTTAAAGGAAAAGCAACCTGATATGTCCACTGCTGTGAAGAGAGGTCAATAGAGGCACCATTGCTTCCTTCCAGCTTTACTGGACCAGTGATCCCTGCTCCCACTTTGTCAAAGAATGCTCCATAATTCTTAAAATATATGAAAAGACATATATCAGATAATACTAATTGATAAAAAGGCCAGCTGATTAAATTATCAGTCTTCTTGAGAATTGAACCAACAGAAATAGTGTAGATCATGATTCTATTCTTTCTTTTTTATGTTTATCCTGTGAGATGAAAAGAAAACTTTCACGTAAATTTAAACCAGGAGGGCAAAAACCTGAAGTCCCACAGTCAAACTCAGAAGATCTATGGTATTCTTCCCCGGTTGAAGAGTAACAGGAATCTTCACTGAAACCTTAGCATTGTTACTGCTTCCTGTTCCACTCCCTACAGAAAATCGAATATATAAAATATCAGTCTTGTTGTAGTAATTCAATCCATCTGTCACCTGGGCTGAAGAAGTTGAACATTTGAAATGACTGGAACATATTAAGTTTCACATCTTAGCTTTATCACTTTAATAACTAGAAAACATAGTACAGAAGGCCTTGCGGAAACCGGGAACATGCTATGAAGTTTTGGTTGATGTTATAACACTCAATAAGCGAATATTAGATTTAAAAGGAATTTAGCTTGTATAAATTCATCTAGATGTGTTAATTACTCCAAGAACTCAAAAAAGAGAACAACTTAAATTTTACAAAAAAACAGTAGCATTTCCTATGTTCTAATCAACAATGTGGAGCAGACACTTTTTTGCCACAAACACTCAGCTCAGAGGTTCTTTCACCTGTGAAAAAAAAGAATGTGTGGAAGAGTTATCTACAAATGTATTAACTTGAAAATAGGAAAGAGAAGGAAAATCAGGAAAGCAATCAGACTTACTGACAATTAGAAGTAACCAAGACAGTGCAACAATTTATATTCCAGCTAGGTAAGGACTTGGAAAAAAATAGTACTTTCACATCAAAAGACATGAAAAAAAAAATTGTCAACACGCCTCTATTAAATCTTTTAAGAGAAATCTGCATTGGATCCTCCAGGCACACCAGTTTGGAATAACAGACAGATTTATACAGGATTGCACGAGAGTAAAACATGCTTTCAGAGTAGGGTAACTGTTTGCTTCAGAATATCGTAGAGATAAACCAGACAACTATAGTGGGAAAAAATTCTCAAACAAAACAATACAGGTAACAAATCATATAACATACAACATTCTGCATTTCCAATTACCTGCAAGCTTCCCGTTTATAAAAGCATGAAGGGCATGCCCAAGGGATTCAACATGAAGAACTGTATGAGATTCATCTTTAAGTAAAGGCTCATCACTTTTGATATCAGTGCTGTCACAAGTAAGCAGAAAACATTTTTATTTGAGATGCACAGCATCATAATTATCATTGGAAGACCAATCATGCACGGAAAATTAAAAGTCATCAACTTCAATACCTTATTGAGTACCATAAGTAGTCACTTTTATCAGCTGTTGTATTTATCTGCTCTAATAACCCAGGTTTCGAAAAGGCATCTTTTCTAGAAATACCTACTGGTTCATTAATCCAACTCCACTGTGAACCTAATGTCTCAGGTGAATCAGCATCAATATTAAGAGACTGAAGCGTAAACCTTGGAATCTCAGTCACAGAGTTTATCTGTTAATGAGGAAGTAAAATACTTAGGTTTTGCATTAGTTAAGATAACAATAAAGAAAGCTTAATTATTTTCTTGTACTAGAGTAGAGAACCAAAGTTAAAAAGAAATTAAAATCTGTCTTTGGCCATTTATAAAGAATGACATAAAGAAGCAAAGATAGAGTAAATTCCCATTGTTAAAATGAGAGAAAATTGTTATTCTGATGTTTTGGCCACCCTCAGAAGAAAATATGTTTAGTTGTGTCCACGATTCACATGAAATCATGGTCAAAGATACTTCACTTTCTGATCACTGTGTAAGATCTACTTAAACCGGTTTTATATTGAAAACAAACTTCTGAGATTAAATGACAAAGGTAGAATGCGCCTAATAAAAATAATCCAGTTGTAGTTAAACTACCCATCTCTAAAGTCCAACAATGCTTCACTTTCTGAATTATTTGTCTTCCTAGGTTATAGTATGTTTATTATATTATCCATTGTTGATAAAATGGAGCTCCTCTAAAAATAATTTACGGAAAACTGGCAAAAGGAATCTATAGGACTTCAACAACTGTCATATGCAGAGCTATAATAATAAAGGGAGAAGCTCAGCTGTCCAAATAATCCTAGTTTAAAATCAATAACATGAACCAGAGCCAGATGAAAGTTGACTTATTCAATGAGTCTGGTTGAACATAAAAAGGATGAAATGCAAGGAACCACTCCTGCAGAACATTTTGAGCCAAGAGCAGACATGATCCACCTTATTGGGAGTAATATTCTAACTCTCTGCTCTAGAAATTAGACATAGACAACTTAATAAAAAAAATGCAACAGAAGCTACTTTGCAAACCTTTGCAGTGTTAAGAACCACACTCTTGCAGTCCGGTAAGATGCTAACAGACCACGCAGGTACAAAATATGAATTGCCATTGAAAGTCACATTTGCATCAGACTGGGTGCCAACATTTGCTAGAAAAGCTGCACATATTGATCCTGTTTTATACACAGCAGCCTGCAGGAAAAAAGTACATAATGTCTCATTAGAGCATTATTTCAGCATAAATTAGAAAATTAAGGACCCATATAGATGAGGTTTAAGGCTACAGCATTTACAATAATAATCTAACAAATTACATGTAGGCTGTGTCTGGAACAAAATTAATTGAATTTCAAATGTAATTTTTTTAATTCCATGAAATTCTTTTGAGTTCAATTTATGTCATTTAAGAAGGATTTCTATGGGCTCATAATTCAACTAAGAGTTAATTTCCAATTAATTAGACAAGTGAAGTTTATTTGTTCCAAACATAACCTTAAATTTGATAAGCCAAGAATGATATGCAAATATTCAAGTCATGCACTGATCTCTAACGCAATATAGTGCATTATAATGATAATAGGAGAACCAATTTTCTTTGAAGATCAAACAGGGCATGCATAGTATCAAAATATGATTATAATAGTTAAATGATGATGTTAGAAATTAAACATATATCATAACTCCTCAATTATGATTACCTTTTACAATATCCACAGCTATGAAATTTAGATAGAAAAACACCTAGCTATTATTGTCAATAATAAACTAGATTATGGAGAAGCAACCAGAAGTTCAGGAATTTCTCATAGCCACATCAGTTAAATTTTTGAATGGAAGAGGAGATCAAAGAAAAAGAAGCTTGAAGAAGGGAAAAAAACACAAGAAGGTTGATAGATTCAAGTCGACAATGCGAACTTGACGTGAGACTAAATTCACTTTCATTTGAAAAAAGTATAAGATACAAGAAGAACCATTCCTAGTTCCACTTGGGAATAGGAAGCACTAATATTGGTCTAACTTTACAGGCATTGTCATTAAATGGCATAATCAGTTCAGCATTTGATTGTTGCCCATCTCCGAATGATTTTCCTACTCCTGAGAATTTTTTTATATCGCCAATCACTATTAGTCTAAAACTTAAGCTGCACACTAATCGCTTAAAATATCGTAATCGTAGCCTGAACTCTAGCAACTTACTAATGAAGAAATTGTAGAGGGTTGAAGGCCAGTTATCACTTAGGGAAAGACCACACAGACAACCATGTTCAGCTGTTACTGGAGTCTCACAAGAGTAATGATGCAGTTAGTGCAGTAAACTCATATCCGATTTTATTTTAAGCAGCACAATAACAAAAAGAAACCATTAAGCATTTTCTCATTAGTAAATTTTGAATAATGATGCTACATATGCCAAAAAGTGGAGAATGACATATTCTATCACAATTAGGCACACACAACGCGCATCATCCAAGGAGGATGTTAATGGAAATGATTTTACCTCTAAATTTTGACCCAAAGATGTAATTGTTGGAGCAGTTGCCACCAGTGCACTTTCACAAAGCTTTATGGCCTTGTGCAACTCTTTTAGTTGACCCCACTTAGGTTGTCTGATAAGTCCTGCGACAGACATGAAAGCGATTGATTCTTTCATGAAAACTTAAAGATAAAGTCTTTACCAAACCTGAGTAATAACTGTTAGTATTTCCATCATTTCATAAGATATAGTGTCAGCAGGGAAACCTGGATGTCTACTTTAAATTGACAAAAAGCTTACCCTATTCGGCGAAGGACCTACAACAATAGTAGTAAATAGATAGATGCCTTACCATACTCATCAATGGGAGCATCATAGTCATAACTAGTACTGATAAAAGGTCCTCCAGTAGTCCGGCCAAAGTTCGTCCCTCCATGGTACTGTACAAAATAACCAAAGTGAATTTGATATATATGTCATGTTAATCTTTGTTGAAACTGTAACTGCTCCCAGATAGAACTCGTTAGTATCAGAAACTAAACTCAAGCAAAGAAAAATAACTCCCAGTACCATATAATAGTTTTGGAAAGTTCCTCCCCGCTGGTAAAATCGTGCTACGGCAAAAGCAAGATCTTCCACAGGTCTGTAGGGTACACGGCCACCGAAGGAAAGAAACCTAGTATTATAAATTGTGCGTAAAGTTGAGAGTCAAGGGAAATTACAAGAAAAACTGAAGTTGAAGCAACAGTTTTTTCTAGCGATACATCAATCATCAATTTTGGACAATCATAATGTTCGTGTCAACAACTCAGACGCCTTACCATCCGCTCCAATTCTCAGTCCACATCATGGGCTTTGTCTTTGAATTTGGAGTAAATTGATCGCAGTAGAACCCATTGCAAGTGTTGATCTGCAAGCAATAGTCAAGAGAGGAGAAGAATCAGAGTGAAGGCGCTACTGTAAAATAAGGAACATCCTGGTAAAAGTCTCTAACCAGAAATGTTGGCTGTGAGAAAGCAAGAACTCTAGATAAACAATCATTTAAAAGTGATAGAGAAAAGTAAAGGCACGGTGAAACTTAAAACTCACAATGGGATCAGGAGCATCTCTTTGCTGGCACATAACCCAGGGTACTCCAGTATCCAAAGATATAGCCATATTTGCAGCCCATTTCATATAGGTTTTACCCGCGGCCCCATAAGAAGAATCAATATTTCCGTACTCATTTTCAATCTAGCGCATTGAAAGTTGAAAATCATTAATACATACCCATCAATAATAACCAGGATATCAGTTACTAATTTTACATAATGATACACTATTTGCACCGTGACACGGGAGCGTTCACCCAAGAGAATGTGCCCATTTTAGACGGAGGCTACCATGAAACCCCAAACAACCATTCATTTTAGGACTTAAAAGTAACCAACCTGTGATAAGATGATGGGTCCTCCTTGTGAGGCATAAAGTTTTTCGTCCTTCATCATACCCACGATCTTCGTTGTGAATCGCTGCATCTCTGCCTGCAAAACATGAGCTATATAATGTATTAACTTGGTAATTAGCAAATAATGAACAGAAGCTAGTAAAGATTAGATACCTTGAACGGCCCATTATCAGTTCGAAACTCAATTCCAGGCATAAAATGCAACCAAAGAGGAAAACCGCTGGTCAAAATAAAGGGGGAAAAAGAAGAGTGTAAGGACCTCGTTCACATCTAATTAAATGGGAGCTAAGAACACGAACAATCAGCAATAGAAATCCGGTTACCCGTAATTCCATTCTGCGCATACATATGGACCAATCCGTAGATGAACATAAAGACCAGCCTCTGCCACTAATTTCACGAATTTAACCAAGTCGTTTCTTCCTTCAAAATTGTACTGTAAATTGAGCATGAACAAGTTTAGAAAAATAAATTGATTAATTTAGTTTCTCTGGCCAATTTTGCTGTTAAGGAATGACTAATACAGCACACCGCCATTGGCGTTTTTTAAAAATAAAAAATCAGGAAACGAATTAAAAGATACAAAAACGGTCAAAAGAATTTCAAAATTAAAATCAGAAAATGATTTTAAAATAACCAAAAAAATAATTAATAAAAAATAACAAGATTGAGCATCTAAATTCTTTTTCAACACCGCCTCCGTGCTTTCTACATTACTCTTGTTTTTTTTTTTTTTGGGATAAATAGCATCATAGATGTTAACTAAGTCCTCCCAACATTTCCCCCTCAATCAAGCAAAGCATATATTAACGGAATATAAATAAACGAAAAGCATAAAAAATGAACATTAGAACATAAGGAACAACCTGGTTCCTCACTGGCTCGTGTATATTCCAAAACACGTACGTCTCAATCACATCGAGTCCTCCGTCCTTCGATTTCTGTATTAGGTCCGCCCACATCTGGAACGAAAATAAAAAATACGCACACACGTAAATCAAATACTCGGAGACACATACTGATAGGTACGTATATCCAAACACCGAGCCAGTGTTTGCTTAGTCAGCCTAAGAGTCATAGACAGCGACAGAGTGGTTACGGTACCTCGGGCGTACTACGAGGATAATGAATAGAACCGGAAATCAAGACTCTGCGCTTGCCATCGATCACCAAGGCTCGTTGATCGTACGTCACAGTGGCTCCAAACGACGTCCTCGCTAGAATCCCGATCGCTAAACACGAAACTATCAGGAGAATCACATCTCCTCTCATTTTCGCAAACAAGTCAAACAGCAATACGTAATCTCTGCAAATCTAAGTAAACCGACAATCAATCCCTCTCTTTACAAAAGCGAAAAGGATAAAACAAAAGAGAAAAGGCAGTATGAACACTTGATCTCACTTTTAAGAAACGAAGAAGAAACAGAGTTTCTTGCTTCTTTAAAAACAGTTTCTCTGGTTTGATGGTTTGATTTCACAGTAAATGTTGCTTTGCCGCTTGCATTACAGAGTATTTTTCTGGTTAATGAGAGACGCCACTTTTGCTTGCACGACAGAGAACGCGTAGTCAAATGGTTTCTCTGCTTCTTCTTCCTCTTCCTCTTCCGTCGTCTTCCTCTAAATTCTAATCCTCTTTTCTCGGCTCTTAAATATATCCATCGGATATTTATTTTCTGGTTGCAGAGACAGTGATGTGCTTTTATAATGCAAACCAGTGAACTGGTGCAACCAAGCTGTGGCCCTGTAACAGAATAGGAAAAATATCAGGTGCGGACGTCCAGATATGATATAATCACGAATTGGTGATTTTTTTCTCAATGTCTGACACGTGGCATTCAAATCAAGCAAATGTGCAAATTATGGTTTGTACGTCGGTACCTTCATGGTCCCTAATGTACAACCTTTTATTGCATGAGGACTGGACAGGTGAGTGCCGCTTTCTTTTTGGTACGTGTTTGGTGTATTGTTGGTAATGTTTTGTTAACGTGACGACCGTCCCGCATTTCTATATTTCATGGAGATTCTTCAGCATTTGGCGGGATAATTTTATTTTTCTTGGTAGCTTTATTTTTAATTTTCAAAATATTATATTATAATTTAATTTGGTTATATTTTTTAAATATTTTTAAATAAATTTATCCATAATAACTTATTTTATACGATAAAAATTTTGTTCGCATAAAAATGTTTAGAATATCTTTTGATCACATTTTTTTAATATATATTCAATTAAATAATAATTTTAGATAAAGTAAAAATATAATTCGTGGTGATATTTATTAAGATATATCTCATTAATTTAATTAGAAAAATATTACATCATTTTCTTACAAAATTTGAGAAATATATTACGTTAATTTAAATATATTTTAAATTTTAATTTAAATATATTTTAAATTTTAATTTAAATATATTTTAAATTTTAATTTAAAATAGTCAAATGATATATAGAACAAGCCTTTGTGCATAAGTATTCGCTTATAATAAAATATAAAGAAACCATTGATTAATAATTTTACAAAATACACGTGCGGGAATTAGGGGTTATTATAAATGTGTATCAAATTCTATTGTTTATTAAATTAATAAATATATATAATTATTAAAATAATTAAATTAGTCTAAAAATAATATAAGTACTATAATGAAATTAATTGAAACATTAGTGATTGTCAATAATATAAATTATCGTAATATTTTTATATGTAATTAATTATTTATTTTATTTAATTACTCATTTTCACAATTTAATTTTTATAATTATAAACAACGGCATAGAAATAATACAATCCATCTCATTAAATAATATTAATAGTTAAAATAATGTACTTTAATTATCGAACAATATATAATTTAATGATCAGTATATTTCTTATTTTATAAAAAATAATAAATTTTAGTCAAATTGTATTTTAATACGTACTTTTATGTAAAAGTTATGATTTATGTCATTTATGTATTTGGGTGTATGTATTTATTTTAAGATTATTTATGTAGTCTTATGATTTAAATTAAATATTATATAATTAATAAATGTATTTATTTTTATTAAGAATAATAACTAGACGACTAATTTACAATTAATTTTATTCAATAAAATAGAATCAAAACTCATGACTCGTGAATAAAGCCCAATGAATGTCGGTGGGTGAAGGTCCACCGCGTGCAAGGCTAAGTGAACATGGTTATTGACTTCCACCTTCACATCATCTACTCCGATGGACCCATTAAACAATATCCAAATATTAAATATGGGAGAAAATGACAAATCAATAATGAACATATAACAACCTATGGTATTTTAATATAGTCAAATAAAAAAATATTTAAATTTAATATTATTGATATTGAACCAAATATCCACGAAATAGGCAAGTCCGCGGTATAGAAATTGCCATAGTATTTCAGTTAATTTTAATCAAAATTATCTAATGGTTGATATTTTTTTATTTACAATAAAGTTTAAGTTTTAATTGGATTGTAAAAATTATTTATATTGTATTATTATTAATATATATGTATTATTTTATAGTTAAATCTAACTAAAAACTGTACTCAAATTGAAATTGAATGACTTATAAATAAAATGTTGCATATAAATTGCGACTATTTGATAAGTGAATAAACAATAATTACTTATATTTTAATATAAAATAATTTAAACTTTATATTAATATTTAAAATTTATAAATTTAAATTTTATTAAAAATGTGTACGGTTCATAATTTTGTAAATATATAACTGATGATAATTTGTATATAATATTTGATATAATGTAATCGAAAATTTAATTTACTAATATATTAATATTACTGTATTAATAATATTGAATTAAATATTAACAAATTTATTATATTTATAAATTAAATAAATGTTATATAGCGGTTATATATATATTTATTATAATAGTTACAATAATTTAAAAAATTAATATAATTTTTTATTTAATAAATTATTATGATTGGAATATTAATAATATAATACTTTATATGAATATGAGTTATGATTAGTGATTATTATTTTTTAGTGGATGTTCAAAAATTAATTTAATTGGATATCTAATGATAATATTAAATACGAGATAAATGGCATTAGCCACTAGTGCTTGGATTTGCCTAGGGTCATTATCCTTAAAAAAAAAAAAACAATTATGCAATGCTAAATTAATGAGTAATTATTAGGTGTTAAGACTTTATAATGATAAGTTGATACACGTAATAAATATAATTATTAATAAAAAATATTTTTAAATAATATAAATAAAATTTAAATTATATTAAGTATATTTATAAATATAATTATATAAGTTATACACCTACATATTAGGTATTTGGTGAGATGTATAATATTTAATCAAAATTGTTTCATTATCTTGATTTATTATATGTTATATTAATTATTAAATTTGAAAATATCATATTTTTTTAAGAAAATATATAATATTTTAATTATATATATATAATTCTTTTTAATTTCAATTATTTTTTTTAATATAAAATGAGATAAAAGTTATAAAATTAAAAAATTACCAAATATATTTTAAGTGAAGAGACATTAATAATATTATTAATAAAAAATTATTAGAAATTATTTAATTTTAATATATATATATATAATTTAATTATAACATACATATTTAATGTATATTTTAAAAACTTTATTTTATGTAATTAATTATTTTAATACATGAATAGTTTAGATAATATAATTAAGAATTAATTATTTAGTAAATGCGAACGTGAAAAAATGAAAACGTAAAAGAGGTGACACCAATTGTTGACTAAGAGTTGGTGCGTTTGGACCAGCATTTGGGCGGTGAATAATTCGGAGCTCGTATGTGACAGGTGTCCCTTTGACAATCTAATCAAATTTCCATGATTGCATTTGAAGAAAAAGAAAAAAGAAAAGAGTGTAATGCTCAATTACATTTATATATAATGTTTAAATCAAATATTAACATATTATAATTATTTTAATTAAAAAAATATACCTAATGTAATAAAATATAATTTAGTATCATAAATTTATTAATATATTAATAAAATAAATTTTAAAGTAATTAATTTAAATATTATAAAATATTAAAAAATTAACAATTAGATTGCCATGCAACTAATAATTCTTTATATTTTTAGATAAATGATGTTACATTTTTTTAGTAATTCATAAACGTTGATATTTATTATAATTTTGTTTCCAATAATTTTTAGTTATGATTTGTCTCTAATATTTTATATACGTTCAAAATTTTATATTATGTGCCAAGGCTTCAAAAAAAATTAATTGTACAATTTAAAATAATTAAAAAATAATTTTTAAAAATGATTCGTCTAATGTAAATACGAACTCTTTTCTTTTAAATTTTTTTAATTATTTTAAAATTTAAAATAAATTATTTTTAAAATCTTAAAACACGATTTAATTATTTTAATTTTTTTACAAAAAAATAAATGTAAGCTATACTTTTAAAATAAATATAAAATACTTAAAAATAAATTATAATAAGTAATAAATGTTGAAAATTAATTTAGTAATTTATCTTTTTTATTTTTGTGGGCTGAAAAGATGCTGGGCTTTACAGTTCTCCCATTCACTTTGTGAAAAAGAGGCCCAACGAAGCGTTGATGGCTGTTGCTTGTCGATTGTCACCTGTGAAGTCATAAAACGCCCCGTTTTGATGGAATTAAGCAAGAAAGGAAATTAACTCTTGTCGGTTGTCACCTGTCAGAGCATAAAACGCTCCGTTTTGATGGAAGGAAATTAACGCTTGTCGGTTGTCACCTGTCAAGGCATAAAACGCCCCGTTTCGATGCAATTAAACAAGAAAGGAAATTAACGCTTTTCCCAGTTTCAGTCCAAGCAATGGCCTCCTTGAAGAAATCCAATGAAGCAAAAGACGATGAGAAGAAGAAGAAGAAGAAAACGACGGGCAGCTCCACCACAAAGCCCACCAGCAAAATAGAGAAGAAGAAAACGAGCTCTACGAAAAATTTAAGGAAGCCAAACCCTAAAACTTGCTCCAACAAGAAGAATAAAGCCACCCAAAATGGCACCGTTGAAGATCCCGTTATCGTTGAAGTTACACCTTCAAGCAGTGACTCAGAGAAAGAGAACGAGGAGGAGCAGAACCCGAAGAGTAATGGAAAGATCACGAAGAATCCGCCAGCTAAGGTCACGAGCCCCAGGAAAAGAAGCAAGAAGGAAAGAGGCGGGGACGAGGGCAACGGTGCAGAGAAAGGGGAGGAGAAGATATGTAAAATTCCTATCAATCGAACCAAGAGGATAATTAAGAGCGAGGATCCTGATTGTCTGATTACTCAAGAGGCTCTTTTCCTGGTCAACAAAGCCACGGTATCTTCTCTTTTTCTTCAGCTATTTTCTATTTGAATACGAATTGTTCGAATTTGATCGCTGATTAGGGTTTCATATTGTCCAAGAACCTAGAATGTATGGTGCATGAACGTGTAATCATGTGTTTGTGCAGTTTACTTACATTTGAGGAATTCGATTAGAAATTGTCTTTGTTTGGAAGAAATGAATTTCATAACGAAATTATAGAACTCATTCTGAGATGGAGTATATATGAAATTGTGCAAGTGTTTTTGAAATTCCGTCAAAGCTCTATGGAACTCATAAAGAAACATGTTAGTATTTTCTCAAATGTATTTTATATATCACAGTTTGTTTCAAACATCAATATTCATTTAAAACTAAATTAATTTGTCATTTCCTTTGCAAAATGAAATGGAATTTTGTTGTTCAATATTCCAAACAGAGCTTGTATTATTTTATGAGCAATTTAGGCTGTGTTTTGAACAAATTAATTCTTTGTAGAATTTATTTGTAGAATTCATTTGGAAATTCACATTTTTTTAACCATGAATTTTAATGGAATTTGTATATTTATGCCTCAATTTTAGTTAAAATTATCTAGGAGCTTAATTTTTATGGTACATGAATGATCTCCTCCATCTCATATCATATGTTCTAAACATACTCTTGGACTTGCTCTTTGTAATTTTCATTTCCCAATTGATATGCATTTCTTTTTGATGTAATGGATAAGTTCGATGAACGAGCAAGCCAAGAGGTAGGTGCAGCTCTGCAAGTAATGCATGCAAGAGGATGCAACTGGCAAAGCAGCCAAGAAAAAGTTTCTTGTCTTTGATATTGTGATATACAACTTATAAGCATCCTGGGTATAAAGTGTGCTTTTCCTTTTTCTCCATTTTGTTTCTGCTTGGGGCAGGAGGGTTGGTGGGGAACTTTTTCCAAGTAACTGTTTCCACTTCTTTTTCTCATTACCTTCTTTTAGGATTCTGTTTGCATTAGCTTTTCTCTTTGTCGAGCGTGTTTCTTTTATCATCTATTAATGTATATTATTGTCTTTCGGTTTTGGTGCGGATATTGTGGTTTGTGGACACTGTTAGGCCTAGTTAATGCCCATTTGAGAAAGCTGATGTTTCTGCTGTGATTGATAAAAGGTGCTGCAAGAATAGCTCAATAAAAGTAGTTTTGAAGTGAGAGTTATATAGAGTTTGAGACAAGTTTTGTAGAAAATGTTGTCAATGTTAAAAGCAACGCTATTTTGTTTTGTTAATTGCCAAAGATGATTACTAAAATTTGGTCTATTCTACAAAAACATGATTTCATATTGGAATATACAAAAATATGGCTAAGTAAACGTTGATTGTCAACAGAAGTAAAGTTTGCTAAATTTGGAATGAAACACCCAAATTACCATTTTTTATTTTGACCCTTCTTCCCCGGAATCCATCATCTTTCTCTAGCTAACCATCAGCTTCTGTTCTCCTGCCATAATTCTTCCACCAAATCAGCAGCTTATATTCACCAAATAAATTAGTTCTTCTCACTTTTGCCATCATCTCACGGCAGCAGTTGGTTCTCTCATGGTTGCAAACTTTTTCTTTTTGCAACCTGCCATTACCACTGCTCTGAAGGTTGAGATTCAGGCCTAAATTCGAAGTTCACCTTCACAATCTTGAGGATTTCCTTGTTGGGAATCTTTCCAGTCCCTCATATGTTCAGAAAGATTGATATTTTACAGCGAGAGTTCTCTTTGGCTTCTCTTTGTGGCCTCCAAGATCTGATTTATAGCAGCAAAGTCATAGCCAACTGAATATATATTTACAAAAGTGAGGCAAAACCCACCTTTTCTTTGTTATGTTTATTGTGTGTTTTTTTAAATATTTGAACATTTGTTTTGTGGTTGCATTTTGTTTTTAATCATAATATCAAGTGAGTGAGTTTGTGGTAATGAGGTAAATCTAAACGTGGGTCATCACGAACTTTGTGCAAGAAGGGAAAAGGTATTGTAATAATGAGGAAGAAGAATGTTATCTTTTGTTATCAATACTATTTTCTCCATCCCTATTTCTTGCTTGGCCGCCACCACAGGACTTCACACTCCTTCTTCTTTGATTCGTCTTCTTCTTCTTCTTCTTCCTCTTTTTTGGTTCAGTCCTTCCAGGTGCAAAACCAGACTGATATATAAGTATGGTTCAATATAATATTAAGCAGATAACTTTTGGTGCCAAATGGGAAGGGGAAAGTGTTTTATGGTAAGAGAGCTTGGGTTGAAGGGTGGGATGATTTGGTCATTTTTACCAAGTTCTTTTTTTCCCCTTTAGCTATTACGTTTAAGGCTGTTGAGTATCTTTTTTTTCAGTTATGTTTTCGGAACATAAATTTAAAATGTGTATAAGAACTATTCATTTTTCTTATATAGTTTGAATACGAAGTTATGCTTTTATATAGTAGATTAAACCTTAGTAACATTCTTGTAATTTGCCCTTAAATCAACGCACTTCTATTTAAAGATGCTTGTCTTTTCATAGCAAAAGCTTTAGCTGAAAGCCTAGCAAAATAAGCTTTGAGTCCCTGTGCAGAAACTTTTCTCCAGAAAATTTGTTTCCTATATTTTTTTTCATGGATTCTCTCTCCAGTAATATACAATTATCAGTTAAATAATAATTATAATTTCTAATGATGTTGTTGTTGTTGTTGTTGTTATTATTATTATCTGACTCTCCATTTTTCCCATTTTGGACTTGTAAAGTTTATAGATTGTGCTCTCATAGTCTTGAACAATGCAGGAGATGCTGATTGAGAAATTTTGTGAAGATGCTTATAAGTGTTCTGTTGAGGATCGCAAGAAAAATCTACATTACAAGCACCTATGTAATCTCCCTTTTGATACTCATTTCCAATTTTTAGGCTATTAAATATCAGCTGTTATCTGAGTCTGCACTTCATGTTCAATTATTACCTTCTCCTCCTAATACCTGTTGTTGAGATTTACTTTGACCTGTAATATTTACCATACAGCTTCGTCAAAAAGGAATTTTTGTAGTGCAGCTTAACACATTGTCAGCATGAACTGGAGCATCTAATGGTGTTATGGAAAAGTTGCCTTCCTGATAAATCATAATCTAATCAACTTTTCTTCCCTGATATCTATTGTATCTTTGGTTTAATTCCTTTCCAGTTCCTACCTTATTCTTGCACCTAATTACCGAATTAAATTTGATAGGAACAATTGCATTATAGTTCCATATTTGAACTACTTCTGCTTTGTTGAGTTGGTTCAAACATAAAAAATATTATCTAGATTTACCTATCAAGATTAGTTTAGTAATTACCTGAAGGAATGAGTAGGAAATGAATAAGAATTGAAGCACAAAGGACTTTAATTTTTTGGGTTATCATATGAGAACATTTGTTCCAATAGTATTTTGAGTGCACTGCATCCTGTTGATTTGATTAGTAAGAGAGAGGTTTCATCAAATGTTGCTCTTATGATTTAGAGTTTACCTGTAAATTTGATCTAAAGTTGTCACTGTGTTCCTTGAGATTTAATATTCTGCTTGTGCACATTTTCACCTGCTAGAAACATAATGTAGTTTTAGCCTTGAGATATGCTCAGTGGGTTAGGAATTCCATTTAAAACAGGTAAAATGAATTAACTGTGTAACTTGGTGGGTGTCAGTTCTTTCTTCTTTTCCTTATGCGCTCATTATTAGACAAATAAATTGGTTAATAATGTGATGGAATAATGTAAGGTTACTTACAAAATATGGTTACATGCATAGAAAAATTGATATTGAAATTCTCATTTGTTGTTTCAGCATCAGTTGTAAGTAAAGAGACTAGATATGAATTTCTTTCAGGTACTTTTCACCTATTTCCCATCTTGTCTTTACTCATTCTCTCATTTAAATATCTGGTTTTGCAAACTTGTCATATTTATCTTGCATATGCAGATTTTGTTCCTGAAAAGGTAACGGCAGAAGATGCATTGGCACAGAGCAAATTAGCTGAGAGAGGAGCTGGATAGGACCTCTTTCTTCGGTAACCTGGATAGAAGCTGAGAAACATGATACTGCAGACAATAGTCTTTCCTTGGTAGGTTGGAATGAGTTTTATGTTTTTGTCTACCAAAAGCTTATATTGCTTAAAGAAATTGCAATTTTTTTTCCTTTTCATTTGCAGGTGTAGATTGAATTGAAGAGCTAACAGATCTTACTCTTAATAGTGTCCAACCATCGGGCACTGATTGACCCGCCTCTTTGTAATTGGATTTTTTGAATGTATGGCTAAAGAAATCAAAATAGATGTTAAAGAAAAAAAAACAAATCGGATGAAAAGGAGAGTTGCCTTTCACTTTATTCTAAATTAAAGTTACTGATTTTCTTTCTATTAAATGCTTAAATTTGAAAGTTTCTGCAATCTTGTAGTTTAAACATTTGACTAATTTGCGAATGCTGCTGAAAAACCTCTGTGCACTTCCTAGAAGATTTTAACAAGAGGGTACTTTTCTGTGGTGTGAGAATGTTGTGCATCTACGGCTGCTTCTTTTTCTTTTCCAGGTAAGAATGAGCTCGCTGGAAGTTCAATACTGCCCACACCAAGTGTCGTAAACCAATTTCTGGCCACAATGAGTTTGTTGAGTACAACAAGCAGTTAGGGGTCTGCCAGAGTAGGAAATTGCTCAGGCGATTCTCACCTGTTCGGATTAGGATGTCGGGATCCGGAGCTACTGCCATGAACATTTCCCGCTCTACGTCCACCAGTTTTACATTATCTTGATGCATCCATTCATGTCCTGCATATTTGTTTTCACTATCGCAGGCTTCTTTGGATTTCATCGTAATCGCATGTGATATATCCAATTTACCCTTGCAGGACTTTTCAACAGCACCAATGATCTCATTGGTAGACGTATAAGCTACACAAACCAAGATTGTGGCCTTAGTGTTGTTTTTAGTAGCTATCATTGCCTTCTCAGCTGCAGCCCTGACAGGTTCACTCAATAGTTTGAGGTTACCTATGAAAATCACCCTCACTCCATATTGTCCTGCAAGATGACCTTCCTTGAGCAGCAATTCTATCTTCTCCAGCATCAGGTCCATTAACAATTGAACCTCGTCGGGGCGCCTATGGAAATTATCGATGCTAAATGCGTAGATTGTGATGTACTTGACTCCAAGTTCGCCGCAGTATTTAAGCATGGCCATGAGCGCCAAGAACCCGGCTCTGTGGCCAGCGCCTTCCGAAGTAAGTTGTTCCTTCCTGGCATACCTCCTGTTTCCGTCCATGATGAATGCAATATGATTTGGAATTGCAGCTTGGGAAAGTACCTTAAAAATACATCTTCTCATGTGAAGACCTGGAAATCTGAATACTTGGGCAAACCTATTTCCTTCTCCCTCTTCCATTTCTGTTGAGTGTATGAGACTGCCAACGGGGATTTTGATGTAAGTATAAGAAGAGATTTCTTGGTGGGTCATGCTCAAAGAATGAGCGAAGTAAAAGGAGAAAATTGCTGCTATAATTCTGCAAAAAAAGATGAGCGTAGGCAACTGTTACACTTCTTTTTTTAAGTTAAAACTGAAACTATGGCTGCGTTTATCTTGCAATCCAGGGGTCCTCGTTACCTTACTCCGGCAGATTTGCAGGGTTAAAAGATGAGAGAGCTTTTAGCTAAGCTAAAAATCTGATATTTACTTTTGACGATTGAGTTTGACATGAATTATAATTTATCAAATTTGAGACTTTTAAACTATATAGTTCAACCTAAAATTGAGTTATATTTGGTTCAAATTATACCTTATACATATATGTATTAAAAATTACAAACACCATAAATATGTTATTTCAATAAATTATGATAAAAGTAGGTTGACCTATTTGAGCTCAACCTACTTTTGAATTATATAGTGGGTTTAGTTCACCATATGCAAGAATTATATTGGACCCACATATCACATATTGAGTTTGATACAAATCATATTTTTTTAAATTTGAGACGTAGTAAATTATGTAAACTTAACTTAAGCTCAATATAAGTTTGAGTTTTATTATTATATTCAGTTAACAAGATAAATATGTCATTTTAACAAATTACAACGCTCAACTTAAGTTTTAATTTTATTGTTAAGTTTAGTTCGAATTATGCAATCAAACTTACTACCACGTGATCAGAAGCCAGATACTTAATATATATATATATATATATTCTTTTCATAAATTATGATGCCATATGTGGAAATCAAATTCACGACCACATGGTTAAAAGTTATGCGCTCTATAAGCTGAGGTAAGATGGTTTTATAGTGAATTATACCATCAGATGTAGTTCGAATTATGGTTATTATATATTAAAAACTATGAATAAAATAAATATATTATTTTAACAAATTATAAAACCATATGCAAGAATCGTATTGGACTCACTACTATATGGATAAAGGAAGATAAGGCATTAATTTAAACTAAGCATATAACATCCAATTTTATTGTTTGAGTTTGACACAAATTATATTCTTTCAAATTTGATACTTGTAAATCATGTAAAGTTAATGTGAACTCAATCGAAGTTTGAGTTATATTATTAATTTTGTTTGAATTGTACCTTATATATATATATATATATTAAAAATTACAAACAAGATAAATATATCATTTCAACAAATTATAACATTATATGTAAAAGTCGAACTCACATGAGCTCAACTTTGGTTTTAGTTTTATTGTCAGGTTATCATATTTTTTCAAATTTAATACTTGTAAATTATGTAAAGTTAACTTGAGCTTAATCGAAGTTTGAGTTATATTATTAGATTTGGTTCGAATTATACCTTATATATATATATATATATAGTAAAAATTACAAACAAGACAAATATGTCATTTCAACAAATTATTACGTTATATGTAAAAATCGAACTCACATGAGCTCAACTTAAGTTTTATATATTGCAAATCAAACCTACTACCACGTGATTATAAGCCAATACTTGATAAATATATTCTTTTCACAAATTATGACGCCATTTGTGGGAATCAAACCCACGACTATATGGTTAAAATGCATGCGCTCTACCAGCTGAGTTAAGATAACTCTACAGTGAATTGTATCGTCAAGTGTAGTTCGAATTATGTTTATTATATATTAAAAATTATGAATAAAATAAATATGTTATTTCAACAAATTATAAGATCATATGCAGGAATCGTATTGGACCAATGACCACATGAATTAAGGAAGAGAGGACATTTAGTTAAGCTAAACGCATGACATCTAATTTCATTGTTTGAGTTTGACACAAATCATATTTTTTTCAAATTTGAGACTTGTAAATTACGTAAAGTTAACTTGAGCTTAATCGAATGTTGAGTTATATTATTAGATTTGGTTATATTATACCTTATATATATATATTAAAAATTATAAACAAGATAAATAAATCATTTATAATGCTATATATGAAAATCAAACTCACATGAACTCAACTTAAGTTTTAGTTTTATTGTCACCATATACTTGATAAATATATTTTTTCACAAATTATGACGCCATCTATGGGAATCGAACCCACGACCACATGGTTAAAAGCCATGCGCTCTACCAATTGAGCTAAGATGGCTCCACAACGTATTATATTATCAAGTTTAGTTCGAATTATGTTTATTATATATTAAAAATTATGAATAAAATAAGTATGTTATTTCAACAAATTATAAAATCATATGTAAGAATCGTATTGGGCCCACGACCACATGGATAAAGGAAGCGAGGGCATTTAACTAAGCTAAATACATGACATCTAATTTCATTATTTGAGTTTGACAAAAATCATATAATGTTATATGTGAAAATCAAACTAAAAAATCAGATACTTGACAAATATATTTTTTCACAAATTATGACGTCATCTGTGGGAATCAAACCCACGACCACATGGTTAAAAGCCATGCGCTCTACCAACTGAGCTAAGATGGCTCCACAACGTATTATATTATCAGGTTTAGTTCGAATTATGTTTATTATATATTAAAAATTATGAATAAAATAAGTATGTTATTTCAACAAATTATAAGATCATATGTAAGAATCGTATTGGGCCCATGACCACATGAATAAAGGAAGCTAGGGCATTTAACTAAGCTAAATACATGACATCTAATTTCATTATTTGAGTTTGACAAAAATCATATTTTTTTCAAAATTGAGACTTGTAAATTATGTAAACTTAACTTGAACTCAATCTAAGTTTGAGTTATAAATTCAACAATATATATATATATTGCAAATATGCAAATCAAACCTACTACCACAACTACATGGTTAAAAGCCATGCGCTCTACCAGCTGAGCTAAGGTGGCTAAGGTGGCTCTACAGTGAATTAGATTGTCAGGTCTAGATTATATATTAAAAACTATTAATAAAATAAATATGTTATCTAAGCAAATTATAAGACCATATATAGGAATTGTATTGAACCCACGACCACATGGATAAAGAAGATGGGGCATTTAGCTAAGTTAAACATATGACATTTAATTTCATTGTTTGAGTTTGATACAAATTATATTTTTTTAAAAATTTGAGACTTGTAAATTACGTAAACTTAACTTGAGCTCAACCGAAGTTTGAGTTATATTATTATATTTGATTTGAATTATACATTATATATACATATTTATTAGAGACCATATGTACAAAATGCAATTGCATCTTGATAAATTGTAACACCATTGATAGGAATCAAATCCACATTTGCATATAAATAGATAAAACATCAATGTCACAATTATATTTAGTAATGGTCAGTTTGAGTTTGGGATCAATTCAAAACAAAAAAACTAAAAAACTAAAGTAACGTGTAATACTCGGACCCAAAATTTGGTTCGTGATTAATTTTAAAATGAAAAAAATATATATAAAATATAATTTTTAATTTTGTTTAATGTAAAATTAGAAAAAAAAAAGTGGATGATGAAATTGAAAATAATTTTGAAAAAAAATAAGTGAAAAATTGGATTCGATTGGTATTTTTGAAAAAAAAAATAGAAACTGGGGGGTCAAAATACAATTTTTTTAAAAAAACGTCACATAAAACTGCACAATCAGCAGTCCCGACGAACCGGAGTGTGTCGCGTGGTAGGGCACGTTGACTCGATGCCACGTGAGAGGCCACGCCACGCTGGCAATCCGCGTGCCCACGATCGGACGGCTCGAATGCATTCCCGTACGCGTGGATGGTCTGGATCATTTCCCTCCTCATGTGCGATCGAACGGTCACGATTAAAAGTGATGAACGACCCAAATTCGTTCTTTCTTTAAACACGATCGTACGGTTCAAATCAAATCACAATAAATGGCCCAAATTTAAGAGAGATAGGTATAAATATCTAATTTTATACCGAACCCAAACCCTAGCCGCCAGCCCTGCACCAGGAAGGGAGCCGACCGTCGCCCCCCACCGCGTTGAAGCCACCTCCAACCACCAAAAAAGGTAAAAATTCTTATATTCGCTCGAAATTTGATTTTAAACACCCCCATGACTAAATCAGAGCAAAAAGAATGGCGCATAAGCTACAAATCGTGGGTAAAGCCCGGTGCCGCCGTCACAGAAAAAACCAAAAATCACCTCCGATGAGCCTCTTTCTGTTTCCCGTTTCGTGCGATTTTTTCACCATTGTGTTCACTGTTATGTTTTCTATAGGTTGATCGAAGAAAAATGCACAGTCGAGAAAAACGCAGAGCCATCGCACTAAAAAATTCCGTTGCTGGTAGGTTTTTATTTTTTAATTTTTTTCGGCCAACCGAGACCCCTTAACGTGTTTTCTTGCAGGGATGAGTATAAAACCGGTCGAAATCGGTCAAAACTAGCCGAAAACAACCAGTCCGAGATAAACCGCTACCGCAGACGGTGGTGTCATCGTGCCTAAATTCTAAAATTGGACAAAAAATATTTTAACACCGATTTTGGATTTTTTGTGGTATTTTTAGGTATGTGAAGTGTGTTTTAATCTCCGCAGAAAAACTCAAGAAACTCGGAGACCGCTAGTAGGCGTAGTAGAAGGTTCAGTATTTCGGACATTGATTCGGATAAAAATCTATCTCCTTATTTCATGTTATAAAATTAAAGTCTAATTATAAATAATACGGTATTTTGTATAATTTAAAAATTTTCGATAATTAATTACAGGTTACTTATAGAGCAAAAACCAATTATTTATTACTGTTTTTCTTATTTTAAATGATTGTTTGATTTTACGATTTTAAATGCATGATAATACACTGGAATTGGTAAGATGATTCGGTTGTATTTCCTTGATTCATGTATTGTTTGTCTTGCATGATTTACAGTTAAATTGTAAAAATAAAAATTTAATGTAAACAAAAAATTGCTTGGTCAAGTAAATGAATGAAATGGTTATCCTACTGGATATCCTAGGAGATGGTAGACGGACCGAGTACATAGAAAATTCTACCGTGAACGTTACCTCATACCGAACGAGGTATCGATGAATGATATTTTTAATGCTCATATCGGACGGGGTATGAGGACGGTCCGATTCACCCTCATACCGGACAAAGTATTGAGAGATTGTACTTTTGGCGGTCATATTGGACGTAGTATGGGGACGGCCGGTTAGTTAACAAGTTTTATTATAGGTTCACGCATAATGAGACATCCCTACAGACCTCCAGTAATATCAGTAAACAAATAAAAAGAAAAAATTGTTGTTCTGGCTAATTGAATATGAAATTATGATATTGTTTGTGTTATTGCTTCTATAGATCGATTTTTAAAAATCTCGCTACGTTAAGTATGTACTAAATGATTTTATTGATGATAAAAGAATTTACTTAATTTAAGAGTTTTATTAGTTGTTTTTATGATTTTTACCAACTTTTATTTCTGTATCGGTGAGTAGTGTGATATTCTTATTAAACTAGTGTAACTCACCATTTTATTAACCATTTTAGATCAAGAAAACCAAGATTCAGATCCCGATGAACAAGGAGATTGTGAATAGTTCACCACCCGAACTCCCTTCAAAGGCTAATAAAGATCGTCCTATGATACCTAATTGCTTACTTTTCATTTATTTCTTAATTTTTCGTTTTTTCTTTTAGAATGATCATTCTCATATTCCTATTAAGTATTCTAAATTATTGTGTAAGAAATATAAATTCTAATTCTATTATTTCGCTTTCGCATTCAATGTGTAATTTATTTTTTTTAAGTCGCAGGTCGTTACATAACAGACGAAAATTGAAATAAGTTTGAATAAGTTAGAAATTATACAATATTTAATAGAAATAAAGATAAATATTACATTTTATTATTGTTAGCAGTGGATTTATAAATAAAAAAAGAGTGTTTGGAGAGAAAATATAGAATGGAACAGGGAGGCATATCAATTTTTAGCTGGAGACTCCAATCACCGTTGATATCGCCAGAAGATTTGGTGGTGGTGGGCCATATGGGCCCAACTAACCAACACACCAAATCTTTCCATCAACAAAATTGCCGTAACAACATAAACTTGTTTCTTAAGAATGTGGCAACAAACCCTAAAAAACCCAAACATTTCACCCCAAAGTACATAAAATTACAATTTAAAAGCAAAGCAATCATCATTCACCATATTATCTTTTATATACATACACACACGCATATATATATATACACACACCCACACCACCCACACACACACACACACACACACATATATATATATACACACACACACCCACACCACCCACTTTATCAAATCACCCATTCCTCTGTCTTTCCTGCCTTTTCAAGCAATCTAGTTTTATATGTAGATATAATATATTATATTATTTTCTTTTCATGATGGGTTTATATAAATAATTAATCTCAAATAATTACTTAACTAAAGTTTTCCAAATCGAATCTTAAATATTGTGTGATTATTTTATTTAAATTTCTCTAAAAGAAAGATCTAGTGACCTTGTGCTTAATCCATGTTTCCCTTACAAAGTGTTTTGTTTCTTTATACAAGTTTTTGAGTCTAATAAATTTGTGCATCACAAAGTAAAATGGTAAATCCCTTAGAATTAATTATTTAACATAATATTACACAAGAAAATTATATTTAATAAGTAATTAGATCTAATTTTATTTTATTTCAAATTAATAAATCTTAGTTATTGATATACAAAACTTATAAATTTGATGTATAATTGAATCAAATTTACATATATATATATGTATATATAATTTCACAATGATAAATTTATATCCTCACATGCTAAGAACAAATAGTAAAAATACCCAATTTAAATTAAATATAAAATTAACTAAAAATTAAAATTTTATCTTCTTTCTAACTTTTTTTTTTTATCATATTTATACAAATTCTTATTCATATTTTATAAAACTTGGAATAAACCAAAATCAATTAAAAAATAGAAAATCCATTACTAAAATAAGAATATAATATTAAATAATTTCACTAATCACAAATTAGAGAATCATACCAATCTTTTTCTCCTCTAGCTAACCCTTATGATTACCCTGTACCTTTCCATAATCATAACAGCTAAGGTTTTGCTAACTGAAACTTCACACTTCACCTACCTCTTCCTCACTCATCAATAAAACCCTTCCTTCCTCTCTCCCATTTCATCAAACACTTTCTGTAACACTCCCATTTCTTACTCATCCAACAATGGCGACCATCCACAAAAACACTCTTCCTTTCACTCTCTCCATCCTCTTCTTCCTCCTCCTCCACTCCACCAAAACCCTATCCCAAACTCCCGCCGTCGCCCCGGCACCTCCCGGCCCCACAAACGTCACCAAGATCCTCGAAAAAGCCGGTCAATTCACCACCCTCATCCGGCTACTCAAGGCTACCGGCGAGTCTGACCGCCTCATCGGCGAGCTCAACAACTCCAACAACGGTATGACCATCTTCGCTCCTAGCGACAACGCCTTCTCTAGCCTCAAAGCCGGAACTCTCAACACCTTGACAAGCCAGCAACAGTCGGAGCTGGTTCAGTTCCATATGATCCCTACTTTTATATCCTCCCAAGGTTTCCAGACTGTTAGTAATCCGTTGAGGACGGAAGCTGGAGACAGCGGAGACGATCATTTTCCTCTTAATGTGACCACTACGGGGAATAGTGTGAATTTAACGTCTGGGTTGACGAACACTAGCGTTTCTGGAACTGTTTATAGTGATGGGCAGGTCGCGATTTATCAGATCGACCAAGTTCTTAAACCCGTACAGATCTTTGATCCCAGGCCGCCGGCGCCGGCTCCGGCACCGGATAAGACTGAGGAGAAGAAGAAGAAGAAGAAAGTGGCGGCGGAGCCTAGTGATTCGGCGGATGTTGCTGGCGCCGTGAGTCTTATTAGTTCCATGCACAGGGTCGTGTTGTTTGGATTTATTGGTGTTTTTGCAGGATTTTATTTGTAACGAAAAAAAAAAAAAAAAAAAAAAATATATTAGCGGCGGGGTCCATTTGGCGTGGTGATATGCATGATTTGATGGACGGTGGTGATCCATTGACGGTGGTGATGATGGTCAAGCGGGTGGGTGAGGTGAGTGCTTTGCAAATCATGTTGCCACGTGGTCTCTCCGGTTCGGTCAATGTTTTTAATGCAAGAGTCGGTCAATGTTTTTAAGGTCTATTTTTTGGAAGAAAAAAAAAATCTTGTATTTTTTAATTTACATTTTTTTTCAATTTTCTTTCAGCTTGAATGTAATTTTGAATTTATTTTTTAATATTTTTCTCTGTGAAATTGGATATTTTAGTATTGTACTGCATTTTTTTTATGGATAATGATTGACCATTTAATATATATTTTTGTGATCTATCCAAATATTTAGCTTAATTACGAGAAAATTTGTATCTATACATATATCTCATCCTATCTCCAAATAAATTTGTGCCAACTTTTTAATTTTTTAAAATTATATTCCTATATATACATATCAATATACTAATATATATATATATATATAAAGAAAATCTATAAAGCATCCTTTTGTATCTAATGATCAATTATTTCCCCAATAGTTAGCCTTTCTTTTTCTCCAAAGGCAAAGAGACTCTTTGCCTTTCAAAATCACTACAGCCAGATGAGTTTTTCACTTTGGCCCCACTTAATAAATGACTAATTACCACTTTCAACTTTTAAGTATTAACTTTTTTTCTCATTACAAAAATTAATTTAAAATATAATATAAAATAATATTTTAAAAAACTAAAATTACAAAAACAATATTTATTTTTTTGACAACAGAAAATAATTCTTAATTATTGACGTTTTTTAATATTTTATTTCAAATGTTACTAGAATTTTTATATCTTAAAATTCAAGTATGTTTGTAATTTATATTTTTCAAATGTTATATGTCTTTTTAATTAAAAATATAAATAATTACGCAGATAAATAATATCAAAATTAGAAACATAGTTTAAAATTTTAATTTTCAATCCAAATATACATTTAAAAAAAAAATTAATTTACCATAAAGTTAATATTTTCAAATAAATTGAATTATTTTTTAAACTAAAAATTACGGCTATCATTCTCATAACGATAACGACGAAAAGGAAACTACACATTGGTCTTCATACACTCCTCCTGTACGTTGACTTTGTTTATGTGGCACGATTCGAGTCAACCATTTTGTCAAACAAAAAGTCAAAACAAGAGAAAGTTAATTAATAATAAAAATGTATTTATTTAATTACGTATATATTTCTATTTAATTTTAACTAATCTAATTTTTTGATGTTAATTAATATGCATGATTAGTCATATTTATTATTTTATGCATCATTTGATAAGTTAATTTCATATTTTTAATTCTACAATCCTAATTTTCATACTTGATTTACAATTGAAAAAACTCAACTCTTGTGTTGAATTTTAGAAAAAAGTCTATTTCTACTTGCTTTTGTAGGTATTGTAAAAACTCTAGCTTGAATTGAGAATGGAATTGAACTTAAATTAAAAATTAGAACATGAATCAAACCCATTTAGAGAATGGAGAAGTTCAAGTGACTCACCTTTTGTAATATCTAGATTCGAAATTTAGTTCGAAATTAATTTTAACATTCTAAAATGCATAAAAAATCTAATTTTGAAATTAATAAATCTTAATTTAATGTAAAATTATGAAAAAAAAAATAAGTTATGAATGAAATTGAAAATAATTTTGAGAAAAAATAGTAAAAATTTGGGTTCAGAATGTGTTTTTGAAAGAAAACTCAAAAACTGGGGGTCAGAATACAAATAAAAAAAATTTGACCATGTAGGACCGCCTAGTCAGCGATCTCGACGAATCATAGCGCGCCGTGTGGCAAGGCGCGCTGATTCGATGCCATGCGGGAGGCCACGTTGGCGATCCGTATGCCTCGCGATTGGACGACCAAGAAGCGATCCCCCGCGCATGGACGGTCCTAATCCGTTTCTCCCTTAAACGTGATCGGATGATCGAGATCAAACACAATGAACTTTTTTCATTAGGCGCGATCGAACGGTCGAGATCAAATAAGATGAATAGTCCAGATTAACGCGAGATAAATATAAATATTTTGCATCCTCTTACCGGAAAAGAAGAACCAGTCACCAGAAAAGGGAGCCGACCGCCGATTTTCGCCGCACTGGAACTACCTCTGACCGTCGATTTTCGCTGCACCGGAGTCACCTCCGACCATTAAGAAAGGTAAAAATTCTCTTACTTGCTCGGAATTCGATTTCGAGCACCCTTATGACCATATCGGAGCAAAACAAACAGTGAGTTAATCGAAAATCGCGGATAAAGCCCGGCGGAGCTGTGCGGGCAAAACCTGTAACCTCCTCCGATGAACCCCTTTCTGTTTTCCGTTTCGTACAATTTTTTTACTGTTGTATTCATTGTTATGTCTTTTACATATTGATCGAAGAAAAAATCCTAGTCATGAAGGTGAGTCGGCAAAGCTGCCGTACCCAGAAAACTCTACCACCGGTAGATTTTTGTCTTCTAATTTTTTCGACCAACCGAGACCCCGTAACGTAGTTTTTTGCAATAATATGCATAAAGTTGGTCGAAACCGGCCAAAACTGACTGAAAACAGCTAGGCCGAGCCAAACAATTGCCGCAAGAGGTAGTGTCGTCCCCTAAACACAACGGTGTCGTCGCTCCATAACCCTAAAATTGGCTGAAAATGATTGTTAACACTAATTTTGATTTTTTGAGATATTTTTATGTACATGAAGCGTGTTTTAATCTCTGGGGACCGCCAGTAGGCACAGTAAAAAGTTCGGTGTTTCGGATACCGATTCAGGTAAGAATCCATCAATTTATTTTCTGTTATGGAGTTGAAGTTTAATAATCAATAATATGGTATTTTGTGAAATTTAGAAAACTTTAAGAATGATTACAGGTCACTAATGAAGTCAAAACCAATTAGTTATTTATTTGTTATGTTTAACTTATTATTTAATTTTACAGCTTTAATACACAATAAAATACTGAAATTGTTGAATAATTCAGTTGTATTTCATTGATACATATATTGCTTGTATTGTATGATTTACGCTTGATTTGTGAAATTTGAAATTAATATGCAAATGAGAAATAGCTTGGTTATGTAAATTAATGAGTGTTTGTCTTACTGGATATTCTGAAAGATGGTGGATGGACTGGATACATAGAGAACTCTACCGTGAATGTTACCTAACACCGAACGGGGTATAAAGGAACGGTATTTTTGGCGCTCATATCGAATGGAGTTTGGGGATGACCAGGTAGTTGACAATTTTATATATTAGGTTCACGTATAGTGGGACACCCCTATGGACCCCCAGAGATACTAGTAAGCAAAATAAAAAAGGAAAAGTTATTGTTCTTACATACTTTAATATGATATCATAATGTTATTTGAGTTATTGTCTTTATAGGTCAATTTTAAAAATTTCGCAACGGTAAGTATGCAATAAATAATTTTCTTATGATAAATAAATTTAGTTAAATTAAGAACCTAATTAGTTGTTTTTATGATTTTTACCAACCTTCAGTTTATGTATCGGTGAGTAGTGTGATATTCTTATTGAGTTAGTGTAACTCACCCCTTCATCTATTAATCATTTCATATAAAAAAAATCAATATCCAGATATTGATCAGCACGAGGGCTGTGAGTAAGTGTCCCTCCGGATCCTATTAAGAACTACTTGAGGTTAACCTCCCTACAACACTTATTTACTATTTTCATATGTTATTACGTTGTTTTATGAACCGTCGTGAAAGAGACATTTTATAGCTCTATTGCTAATTTATGTGTAAGCAATATAAACACCAACGTTATTATACGGTTCTGCATTTAATTTATGATCATGTTCCCATTTAAGTTCCGGATCTTTACACCTTTATTCATAAATTTTTATTAATATTTTTTATTTTATCATACTATTTTTTAAAACTTGATATTATTATATCTAATTTTTCATATTCGGGTCTCTTAGTTACTGAGAGAGTTGCTCAAACGTAGTATACAGGGTGTACCATTTAAAACTTAAAGTACTCCGAATACATGAATGGTAGCTATTTCCATTATTACATAATTTCAAGACAAAACTAAATGTGTTAAGATTATTTATTTACAATAGAATGATATGGAAAGTCAATAGATGTTAATGAATATAAAATAGGGTTTATAATTTCAGAGACCGTTGAAGACAATTATAGATATGATGTAAGACTGAATTATTGTTGATAATTTATTAAAACACTAAATATATAATATGGTAAAGTATAGATTCTGAACGACTCATTTAATAAGTGTTCAATTTTCAGTATTTTTATTTATTATTTTAGAAATTTATAATTCTTTTATTTTATTTTACATAATTTCAATAAATTAGACTCACAAAAATTACAAAATCCTAAGCTTTTTAGATACAAAAAAAATTATTGAAAATAAAATAAGCAATTGATACCCAATAATTTTTAACAAATTAATAATGAATAGGGCTCAAAAATTCAAAATTTAGTAGCTTATAATTATCAATATAATAATAATTTATGAAAACAAAATTTTTATTTTTTATATAAAAAAAAAATAGATTAACCTACATTGTACTATACTTTTGAGAAGCAAAAATATACAGGACGAAAGCCGCTTTTTATTCAAATCCACTATGAAAGACATTTGATCACAGCCGTCAGAGTATGGTGGGCCGTGAGGGGGAAAAAAGGCAGTGACAAGTGGTCACCGTACTTTTAGCCTAACCATAATTTCCCTTTTCTTAAAAAAAAAAATATATAAATTTAAAATTTAACCCCAAAAAAAAATTTAAAAATTAAAATAAAAACTACAAACTGCAAACTACATGCATGGCGGGTCCCATCATCTTCATGGGCTCTTTTTGTTAAGTCTCTTCCACCATGCAGTGGCCCCCTACCCTTCTGACCACCATTCACAAATCTCACAACTTCCCTCTCTCTCTCTCTCTCTCTCTCGTTCTCTCATCTCTTTTTCTGTGTTTCCTGACCGAGTTGACTCACTTTGCTTACTTCCCAGACGTTTCAACTCGGATAAATCACTCCCTCTTCTTGATTTAATGCTCTCCTGAATATTTCATCTATACGTATTCTGGCAACCATGGCCATCTTCATGAATCTCTTATACGCCAACGAGGATCTTTTATATATATATATATATATGATCTTACCTTTGTTTATGCGAATGCCGTCTTGTTAATGATGGCCACTACTGACTCAGGTGATGATCCATAGCTGGATTACCCATTGGAGCAAACCTGGCTAGCTCCTGGTGCAAGAATGGAGATCTACTGGATTCACCTCCTACACCCAGAAAATCTCTGGTTAAACTCTCTTGATCAACTTCATTGGAACTCCCGTATTTTTGTGCTGCTGAATTAATCTGCCTCTGATTATTATGATCCGCCATGAAAAGACTGTCCAAGCTCTTGGGTATTGATGAAGTACTGACGAATGGATGTGAGTTTAAACCGGCAGTACCCAACAATGTCGATGCTTCTTTAACAATGGCTGACTGAGTTGAAGCTTGAGGCAATGAACTCGCCAATAGTTCACTCAGATTTTGATCGTTTATTATACTATGATTCTTGACGAACTTGTTCCCGGGATTCGACAGAGATGAGGAGCTCATTAATCCAAACCCAGAAGTTATATTCAATGGTGATGAGTTGCAGCTTCTTGTAGATCCCATTTGGGCTGCCTTCTGTAAAAGTGCAGTGGCTGACATGTAAGCTTGCTGGATGCTCTGATGATGATTATTATTATTCGAATTATACAGATTAATATTTCCCTTGTTGTCTTCTTCCAGCTGATTCACTTTCTGGTCTGATCTTGGCAATGGCGACATGGAGAGATTGGATCCTGTAAATGATCCTTCCGGGTATTTTTCGACCCACTGGGACGACCCAAAAACGTTCATCGGCGCAACTGGAGGTAGTTGCTCGGAGAAAGCGTTTTGTTGATGGAGCCAAAGAGAAAGTCTTGGCTTTTGCCCATTTGAACTGGTTAGGAGCTCTGAGCTGCCGGCTCCGGCGGCCAACTCTGGCCGGAAAACTGAGGAGAATTGGTGGTGGGGATCTTCATGGGCATTATTGGGATTGTTGATAATTAGATTTGGATTTATTGGTAGTGTTGAAACTGAAGTGAACCTTGCACTTTCTTCAGCTAAAGCATCACAGAAAGCTCTGTGTGTGATAAAGCTGTCCTTCCTGTAATTAGATTCACAAAAAAGCCATATCCCATTTCAAAACTCTGTCATATATGTAAAGCCACATACATACATACATATATACATATATATATATTTGACAAATTACTTCATTAATTTCAGATATAAATACCCATGAAAATCCTTTTGACGTGGGCATTAAATTCTTCAACAAACTAATCATATGAAAAGATTTGATTTGCATTTACGCACTCATGACACATGTATATATATACATATTTGAGCAGAAATACATACAGTTATTAACCAACAAGTGATTTATAGACACCCAACACCAATTATAACACAATTGAAAACAAGTTTCAAACATGAACACAGACAACCACTAATTGATACATTTGTATGTGTGTGTGTGTGTGTGTATGCATATGTAATACCTGGAAAAGATGGTGCCACAGTCACATCTATACT